TGACAAAGAACTTTGGAAGCATTAAAGGTCAAACATCTTGGATAGATGGGAAAGGTGAGACCAAAGCAAAAGCCTGAAATAATAGCTAATCTTCGTTCATATTACCCGTGGAATTTTCTTGGTCCCAGTTCGTAATTATAAAGATAAAAACATTAATCGATCAGACAGAACTTGTTATCTGAACTTCCAATCAACCATACTGTTTCCAGTCTATAACATTGCCAGTCAGACACTCGTGATGGGACATTAAGTCGACCTGTTCCAGTTTAACTGCTTTAATTACTGGAACAATGTTCATGTTTCAGAAACGGATTTTATGATTTTATCAGTTGACAGTTGTATGCGAAAATATAGACGTTTTCATGTCGTCAATTAATTCACTGAAATGTTTATTCTGATTTTATCGCAAATGTTGAAATGACAGAAACTTCTTTTTTTTTTTTCTTACTTCAGAACGAACATGGCTCTCCACACCTTTTTTCATTTGTAGCTCTAAACAAAGTTTTCGGCTGTATCCACCCTTCAAGATTCTGTTGCGCGATCCATTCACTCAAGTTCGTTAGGTAGGTTACCAGATCTTTCCCTAGGTGCGTGTGCGACACTGCGCGTGTGTGTGTGTAAATTTTCTCTTTTCTTCCTCAGGACGTAAGCGGCCATGGCTCGCCATAATTTCTTATCATTTGTAGCTCTAAGCAAAGTTTGCGCCTTTATCATTCCTCCCAGGCTCTATTGCACCGTCCATTCACACAATGCCGTTATGTAGGTTACCTGCTGTTTCTCTAGGTGCGTGTGTGACTCTATGTTTGTATGTATTCCTTCTTTTTTCTTACTTCAGGACGTAAGCGATCATGGCACTTCACATTTTTTTTTTATCATTTGTACCTCTAAGCAAAGTTTTCCCTCACAGGATCTGTTGCGCCATACATCACAAGGCCATTAGTTAAATTACCCGCTGTTTCACTAAGTTATTACTGTTTCCAATATATTCTGTTAGGGTCATCTAAAAGATTTGCGACTGTCTTGTCACTGATTATGGTCGTGGTCTTATTTAGAAAGATTTGGAAATGACTTTTCGCCAGGTGTGTCTGGGATGCTATCGGGAAAGATTTGTAACAGCCTTTTCGCAAGGCGTGGCTTTGGTGGCACCTGGAAACAGAGTTGCTAATTAGATCACACACACACACACACACACACACACGTTTTATCTCCACAGCAAATTTTTTTGGCCAATAAACGATTCGTTATTCGAAATAAGGAGATTACAAAAAGAAGCTGAAGTTTGGGAGACACATAATGAGGAAAGACAGCGTGGGGAATTAAAGACTCACAGGGCACAGACACAGGGAAAGGTGGACAGGGGAAACAGCGAGTAATGTACTTGGCAAATAAATGGATGACGGAATCATCAACATGGTAAAAAAGGGTTGTAAAAGAGCAAATAATGATGAATATTATCGAAATAAAGAAACGGTGGAGAAACGTCATTTCTTACGTCCGGGAAAGACATGACAAACAGAGAGAATGTTCTTGTTTTTATTTTTTATTTTAGTACAAAATGCTATCACATGTCACCATATTTTCGTTCTTTTCTTTCAATCGTGCATCTGACCCCAATACTCCGAAGTAAGTTAGTGGGGGTTTTCGACGAAGCAGATGCATTACTTGCAGATGACATCTCCTCGTGACTTCGTGACCAGAGATTCCAAAATACACTTGGGTACCACATACAAATGCAGGCACATTTAAATAATTCCTCCATTTTTCATCTTGCTACTGGGATTATTTGGTATGCTATGCTTATTTTGTTTTTAATAACTCCTTGCGTATCATTAATGTTGTAGAGTAGTTTTCACAGTGGAGGCTTGTATTTCACTAAGTCGGTCCTAAATTAGGTCCGACATACAAAACGTTAGGAACTTGAAATAATAATTAATGACGCAGCAATCTAGTTGTGGGGCTCATACTTTAATGCCCGACATCGACTGACTCACACAACTCCACTGAGCCCAACTGACGACTGCTACTACTACTACTTATTATCTGTGGGAGAGTCTATTTACAATATAAATAGGTACGTTCCGGTATAACAATTAATTAGTTTGTCTTAGAAAGAAAACCAAAAAAAGAAAAAAAAGAACAACAAAATTATCCACTTTTTTTTAGAGTTGAAAACTTCCCACCGGCACGACTATTTGAGGTGGCACTTGTATTTAGTACTAAAAGCGTGACACTAACAGTTCCACACACCAACAATTCTATTCTACAGGAAAATAACAGCTAAGAAACAATACTTATCAACGATGGCAACGCAACTCTTACGAAAACAATAAGTGACTAGTCTGGCTTAAAAGTACGAGGATCTTACAAGAATTTCGCATGTAAATAAAGGGAAAATTGGTTATTGGTTTCAGATTACCAATTTTCGATTTTAACTATGCAATACTCAGGATTCTGAAATATTCATTACCCGCAAGCAGAAAAGTTAATCTATTTCTTAACTTCCTTAAAAAGCGTACAAGCACACACATACACACAAACACATTTATATTAAGATTAGATTCTTTCTGTATGTTTCAGTGGGTCATAAACACAAACAACAATACTTAAAATTTGGCAAAAAAAATCCCAAGACATCCAGTTGTTAGATACGCAATGTAAAATTGATCTTGGAATTCACATGACTTAACCCGAGGTCACCAGATGTAGTGTATATCATTTCTAGATGTATGTAGTAATTTCTAGCAACATAGAATCATATATTTGTTAGGAAGCAAAATATATTTTTCCACCTCAGTTGATAGTGAGCTTGCGGCAGAGTCGGTTCTTTTGCCTCCATGATCCGTAGTGAAGTAATTACATTCTTGGAGATAAGTTGATAATCGGCACGTCGGCTTAACTTGGCCAGAAAAGTAGTGTTGAAGGTCACAAGAAATCAAGTTTGGATTAAAATATATTCTTTTTCTTTTGTTAGTGTTATGGGGTCCACCCGTTTTTCCTACAAGTGGACTCGACCAGTGAGTACTTGGACGTCTGCGTTAAATACCCAGGGTCAGAGTCAGTCAGAGTATACAGAGAGAGCAGGGGCACCTCTAGGTGGTGTAATGGTTAGCAAGCTTGTCTCGCTAGAACAATTACGGCTGTGTAGTGAGTTCAATCCTCACTGGGTGCCCCTTACTTTCAGCGTTGTGCCACATCCAAGCTCCGCTTGGAATATCACTACAGAGAGAGCAGACATTGTTATTGAGTTGGAGGTAGAGTAATAGTGTGAGGTAACCGCTTGTAGAAGTCACAGTTACAAGCAAGGAAGTCCTACTTCGAGACTGCATATATATATATATATATATATATATATATATTATTGCTACTAACCGCCTTTCTGGATTTACTAACAGTATTACCCATTGTATTATTGTGTAAATACATTTATTTGTTATATTTCATTCCTGCGTTTGTCATTCATTGGAGACCGAATTTAATCTCGGAATCCACAACAGTTAGCTAAATGAAAGAATCGGGACGTACATTAGTGTAATGGTTAATGATTCGACTTCCGGGCGAAACTGTTACCTTCACTTTCGCTTAAATAACCTTGGGAGAGGTAGGAATCCTTCTCTTCTCGCCCGAGTTACGGGGGAAACATCAGGGCAAGACTGGAACCTCTATCTGCGGTTCGTCATCATTCTAGAAGTATAAACCTGAATTCAAAACTGTTTATAGCCTTGATGAAGCACTTAAGAGTCTATCTCTAGAATGGATTAGAACGTTCAAAATTAGCTGTTGCGCGAGGTTGTGGTCTATATGACATCGACTGATGTCAAAGCCGTAGGAAAGACTTTTAACGGCCAAAATACGTGTTTTTTTCTATTCTGGTTGTAAAAAATTTGGCAGCAGCTATAAAACGTCTGCAAACAAAAAAACACGAAAAATTTCCGTCTCAAACGCAATTGTTTTTCTGCTATTTAAAATTGAAAAGAATGGCACAAAATTGCATAAACTACAACTGACACTCTTTCCGAGTTCTTCTTGCTGTAAACAATGATTACATTTGACACGTTGATTGTTTTTGTTTAGCGGCAAATCAACATCTAATGACGAAATCTAAATATTTTGCACATAAGTGAATGTAGCAAACACAGCGGGACTAGACCTTAGGTTTGCTTGATTTTGGATCGTTGTTTTTGTTTAGTACCATATCAAACTCTCTGGGTTATTTAGTACCGAAATCTAAATATTTTGCACATAAGTGAATGTAGCAAACACAGCGGGACTAGTCCTTAGGTTTGCTTGATTTGGGATCATTGTTTTTGTTTAGTACCATATCAAACTCTCTGGGTTATTTAGTACCGAAATCTAAATATTTTGCACATAAGTGAATGTAGCAAACACAGCGGGACTAGTCCTTAGGTTTGCTTGGGATTTGGGATCATTGTTTTTGTTTAGTACCATATCAAACTCTCTGGGTACCGAAATCTAAATATTTTATTTAGTACCTAGTCCTTAGGTTTGCTTGATTTGGGAATCTAAATATTTTGCACATATAAGTGAATGTAGCAAACACAGCGGGACTAGTCCTTAGGTTTGCTTGATTTGGGATCATTGTTTTTGTTTAGTACCATATCAAACTCTCTGGATTATTTAGTACCGAAATGTAAATATTTTGCACATAAGTGAATGTAGCAAACAAAGCGGGACTAGTTCTTAGGTTTGCTTGATTTTGAATGGCTGTTTTTGTTTAGCGGCATATCAACCTGTATGCGTTATTTAATGCAGAAATCTAAATGTTTTTACACAGTTTTAATTTATTCTTTGAAATAATACTGGTTTAGTGATACAAGTCTTACTAATTAACCCTTATCTGGGGGTGAAGAGATGGATTCGTACCCTCCCAAGGAGATTTGTTCGTAAGTGAATATAACGAAACCCAACTGGAATCAGACCTCGGCTCTCCGATTAACAATTCCGATCCATTAGACATTACACCATCCCCACATCCAAATTTATAGCACCTGGTATTTCCAAGCGGTCACCCATCTAGGTACTGATCCGGCTCGACGTTGCTTAACTTCGGCGATTGTACGGGAACCGGTGAATGCATTTGAGAAAGTAACCTCAAAACACGTAGTCCTCAGAACACAAAGGATTTCCCTGCCTCTCTTGCTCTGCCTGGTGTTCCTCTCCACAAGCTTCAACTAAAGTCGCTTCTCAGATTCAAGTATCATTTATCCTTACTAGGGCAGTTAAAAAGAATGCTGTGCCCATTCCCAGGATCTCCATCATTCTGACTTGCTCTTTGAATTCAAACAAATTCGATTCCAAATGTGACTCAGCTTTGACAACGTCATGAACAACGCATAAGGACAATCATTCAGTAACCCCAACCTTAACCTTTATTTCGATATACTTCTCTCGGGACCTGAGCGGTGTTGGAAATTCTCGGCTGAGAACCTGAAGCAACCTTTTAAAAGCTCTACCCAGTGGAAGGTGCTTTTATATTGTGTACTCGGAAAACCTGTTAAATTTTGGATCTATATTTTTTTCTTCTCTTTTGAGCACTAGATTTTTTTTTTTTACGGATACCTTTTCTTTGTGTTGTACGGGGTGCGGCAAAATATCTCTCACATATACCTCCCACGGAATGGTAAAAAGTAAGTGGCAGTGGTGTCTTCATCTAGCTAATGTTTTACTGTTATGTTGGATGTATTTCTGACGGGCTCTGTATTATGTCAATCCTAGAGTGCAAGCAGATTCTTTTTAACTGGTTTTAAATTCAGAGTTGTCCTGCCCCCCTGACAGGTTGGTGACGAAGACTACAGAGCCCAATCTACCCGACTACTTGAGGAGAGAAGTCATGGAATCATGTTTTTCTCTAATGATATTTGTACAAAAGTAAACCCAGCAAACTCGACCGAGATTTGAACTCGGCAAGCTGATTCCATTTTCCGCGTTGATAACTATTTCACTATTTACGCATGCGTAATCGTCCTTGTTCTTTTTCTTTCTTTTTTTTTTCTCTTTCTTTCTGTCTTTCTCATTTAGCATGCGGTGAAAGAAGAAATATATTAAATGAACTATTTTTCTTCGTGCCGCTGTAGTTGAAACAAATTTCCCCGGGCAATATCTGGTATTGTAACACAGAATGTTAACATTATATATCCTTATCATTTACATTTTCTTAAGAAAACCGCTTATGAAATGGATGCTATTTGTTTACCATGACATGTTTGATGAATATTTTTCTAGCCATCTGCAGTAAGATTAGTGGAGAATTTATTGCAGTCATTTCTAATTCCTATCTTTTTCTGTCTCTATCTTTGTCTCTTTCAATTTATGTGTATGTTAATACATGTTTGTTAGCGTGTGTACGTGTCATTGACTTTAGAAATTCCTTGTCGTATACGTTTAAGATTCTGGGCTTATTTTTACTTCCAATATACATTTTGCTGTTAAAAGGAATCAAAGGTGAAACTGTTGTCTCACTAACCTGGATTACTCAACAGCAGAAAGGATCAAATCATCTTGTCTAACAACTGATTTTTCGAATCAGTTGTTTTTCTTGTTCAGTTATACCAATATTTTTGTTTTGAGATTTCGTTTTTTTTTCTGGTTGTCATTTCGTGCCATAATTCCTTTTATAAATTTTGCGCATTCTTATAGTAATGTCTGATATTTTATTTATTGATTTAAATAAACTGTAGGGCACAGACCTTTCAGAAACGGACATTTTAAATGTATATATATTCACATAATATAAACAAAAGGCGGAAGAAGAACAAAAACAAAAAAAATTGTTACACACCGTAAAGTAGTAAATCGAAATATATATATATATATATATATAAAAAATTACAAAAATGTTAACCAGTTATCGCTCTGCATTCTTCGGCGTTAATTCGATAAAACATATAATCATGCATACAACGTCTAAAAACGCCGGTATTTAAAAAAATAATACCAGTCCTACACGCAAGCCGCTAGTGGCCGCTGGTGGGCCGCCGATGGCAACGTCAGTGGTCCTCTGGTAGCAGCCACCCCGCGGGCCGCGGGTGGGTCTCTAGTAGTCCGCCAGGGGTAACACTGTCGAGGCGAATACGCCGGCGGTCCGACAACGGGCCACTGGCGGTAAACGCTAGTGGAATACCACCCAGTGGCCGATAGACGGCTTGCGTGTTGGCAATATCAGTCATAGACAAATTGCATTGGCACCCAACAACCATCCTTTCTTCTAGAATAAAGGTGGCAGATACTTAATATACAAGGTCTGAAGCACTCTCAGATTGTAAATCGAATGTCGTCTGCTCACTACTGTGAAAAAAAAAAAACGACGAACAAATCGGGTGATAGGCGTTCTGCAATTTTCTTCTATATGCCGTATCATATCAGAATTTTAGCGAACATAGCTCTCCACAATTTCTTGTCCTTTCTATCGTATTAGATTTTGTCTTTGTTTTCTCTCCAAAGCCTTGTTCCGTCTGCTCCTCTTGACTTCAGTCTCTCCTGTGTGTATCACATTTTCCAAGCCCTCTTTCCTCATTACGTTCCCTAAAAATTTCCTGATCTTAAATAAAATAGTTCTTTTTGCTTCTGTTTCCTCTAAAACTTCGTCGTTGCTCACATGTTCGGTCCATGGTATTCTTAGTATCATTCTGTAGAAACATATTTCTGTTGCTTCAAGTCTCTTCTGTGAGCAGATTATCTAGCATTCATTGCCATATAGGACGACTGATGCTCCACAACAGTTCAGGATTTTTTTCTTTGCGCAGAAGATACAATTTGCTTACTGTCTACTGATCTTAACTGACACATGCTGATCAGATCTCACTTCTAAGCTCTGATTAGTTCTGCCGATATATTCAGCATCACGCTGACATTGACATTTATAAATCACCAAACTAACATAATAGAAGTTTAACATATTTACGAGTGGATTACAGCAAAGGATCATTTATTTATTAATTGATCTTCATTAACACAAGGAGACATTTAGGCATACGGACGTTTTACTATGTTCGCCACTACCTTTCACTGGGCAAAATTCGCGTTGATATTAGCCACTATCTCGTTGTATTAGCCTTAATTGCTGAAAACTATCGTTTTTGTTTGTATCCTCATCCTATGTCTAACTATCGTTGTTCAGCTTCTACTGGCTGGGTTTCAAATTCAGAGTTGTCATTCTCATAGACTGTTTGCCAACCACTTCTAGAGAGGCCAGTCTGCACTGCTATTTAATCCATAACTGTGGCAGGGAGAAGAAATAGTTTGCGTACAAAATATTTAGATTTTGGTGTTAAATAACTCATAGAGATTGATATACGGCTAAACAAATAACAACCAACAATATTGTGGAACATTGCCAAATGCAACAGAAAACATAAGAAAAACCTTTTTCCAAGGGCATTTGTGCGAAATTAAATGTAACAAACTCAACCTGAGATCGAACTCGACTCGCTGATTTCTCGTTCCGATCTTCTAACAATTGCACTAATTGCACGTCATTTTAATATTTTAATTGAACACAAATTGCTGTCCTTTCTCGGCAGATGTACGGATGGGGTAATGAATAGTAGCTCGAAATGAGAAATCGGAGAACAGAGTTCAAATTCAAGTCGGTTCGTTGCATATATCACGCAGATATCCTTGGGAAAGATATGAATCCATCTTGCCCCACAGCTATGGGTTAAATAGTAAGACATGTATCTAGAAAAATCATCCTTATTCAATAAAGATTCTTAGTACAATATTGTTGCATAAACCCCTTGTTGCGGGGAGGTTTTGGTTGACGTGGTAGATTCCATAACGTTGTATCTTCTCTCGCTTGTCTTCTCCCGGCCGAGGGTCGAAATGTTTTTGGAGTCCGGAGTTGAAAGATAACTTCAACAAAAAGGGATTTTAAACTTATCTATTTTATTAAACACGTCGATGCATATATTTTTAACTAGTCAGTGGGGTCGCTCTATCACTCCCACTGAGGAGCAAGTTCCCCGAAGCACGAAATAAGCACGTCTACTATGTATTACATTCCCAATTAACCAATCAAAAACGACTTCTTCTGTTTTGTCTACCATCTGACCTTACAGGTCAGCCTCAGAAGTTCTGAGCCAAAATATACTGTTATTAAAAAATAATAGTCTGAAACTGTTATTTAACAATATTCACTCGCAAAATAGGAAAGAATTATCCTTACAATCCAAAACAAGTTTCGGCTGTAAATAACCCAACACGGGTTGATAAATCATAAAAAATTCAATCAACTGTCGCCTTAGGCAAAACATTGCTAGTTAGTTTGTCAACAAAGTCGCAAGTATAGGGTACCCAGTAAGGATCGACATAACTAATACTGATTGAAGATATTAACTTGTTAACCATTAGACTAAGCCGAAGCGTCCAATGTCGAATATGCTATAGCATCAATTCGATTAGAAGTTTTAAATTAATTCGGACCAATTACTCGTTCTGAAATTCATGAGGAGGGGACACTAAACATAAGAGGGTTAAGAATTAGAATCGTATAGCACTGATGACCAAATAAATGTTGACTTTCAATACTCATCATGAAGAAACACCGGTTCCCGTACAATCACCGAAGTTAAGCAACGTCGATCCTGGCTAGTTTCACGATGGGTAACAGCTTGCGAATACCAGGTACTGTAAGATTGGATGTGCGCTTAGCGTAATGAATAATGGTCTCGGAATTGATAATCGGAGAGCCGGGTTACAATTCCAGGTATCACTAAAATCATTATTATCTCAAAAGAAATGAAATATAATTGCGTCCAAAATATTCAGATTTCGACATTAAATAACCTATAGAGATGTTGATATGCTGCCAAGCAAAATCAACCGACAACCATCAACACTGTCGAACGAAAGCAATAGTGAGTGCTACGGCAGAAATATTCCGCGGAAAATAAGGATTTGATTTGGTCTGTTTTTTAACAGCATATCAAATCCTTATGGGTCATTTAATGTATTGCTGGTAATATTTTTAATTTTTTCTTTTACTATGAAAATTTATTTCTGGTAATTTTTTTGTAATCTATTTTTATATTTTCATGTTTTGATCCCAGTCTGGGGGTTCACAATTTGTCCATAGCTGGGACCCTAACAAGCGATACAACCCTGGGTCAGGGTGGACCTGGGAACAACAGCAATTAACAGGTGTTTCCTCGCTCCTCAAAACCACTGAAGCCTTGATGCCGGATCTAGTTTACCGTCATACCCAGGAAAGAAAACAAAGACGAGGAAACAAGAATAAATAAATCAATGTCTAGCAGTTACCAAGGCGTAGTTTCAGGATTTTAAACAAAATATGTCGCCTATAACAAACGGAAATAATATGACCGTCCTAAATCCGTTTTAGCATTTCATTCACCGACAGATATTTTTTGTCACGGCAATTTTATCGCAATTACTTGTTAGACTCTGGAGTACTTTTTTAAAGAGGCAAATCTTCCACAAAATCTAACCAAAGTAAAAGGTTTTATTTTTTTAGATCGTGATGACGTATGAAAACGCCTCTAGCAAAGAGGTTGCTTTGTGAATATATGAACTACAAAACAAATATTGATATAATTGAAGTAGAACTCATCACCCAAAATTATATTTTCTGACAGACACACACACACACACACACACACACACACATACATATATATATATATATATATATATATATATATATATATATTCAATTTTACTAATGTTCTTGCTGTTGTCTTTATTGTGGGGCGAGGAGGGTGTCGAAACTCTCTGTAGTGATTATTGTCTAAATCGCATTCGGCCAATTCGTTAGTCATTTTCAAGGGAGGGATTCGTTGCTAATGTGCTATCCTGTCTTTATGTTCTAAGTTGTATTGTCTGCAAGTAGTAGTAGTTCTAATGTGTACCAGATGAAATATGCTTATTCCATGTTGGGATTGTCTTTAAAAGACAGCCAATACGTTAATACTGTGGTCTACGGTTTTCCTGAGTAAGAAGCATTAATCATCTTAAAGCATTCTTTACTATAAGATTTATTTAGAATGACGGCGCTATATCCAAGAACCTTTCTAATGGGAGTAAGTTTTATTATATATATATATATATATATATATATATATATATATATAGAGAGAGAGAGAGAGAGAAGAGAGAGAGAGAGAGAGATTTTTATGTTTATACGGTTCTTTTTATAGATACAAATATTTAAGTAAATGTTCTATTTATAATAAACAGTATTAACGACATTTACCGGCCTGGATGTCCAAGAAATCTTCATAGAAAATATGCGTCCTCCAACAGGTATCGAACCTGTATCCTATACGGAACTGTCATATAGCCTGACGTGCTTTTACCGATTGAGCGTTACGGTTAGCAAGGTCGATTTTACTGTTTTTAAGCTACAATTCTAAATGATTTTCTCTCGTACATTCATATCTGCTCAATGCGTATCCAAATGTAAACAAATGACGTCACACATTATGAAATGGACAAAGTCCGACAATTATTTTAAGACATTTTTTATGTTTATACGTTCTTTTTATAAAATCATGGATAATTGTAATTTAAAAATAGTGAAATCGACCGAAACGCTTCTCTGTGGCTCCATCGGTAAACGCACGTCAGGCTATATGACGTTTCCGTATAGGATACAAGTTCGATTCCTGTCGTAGGACGCATATTTTCTGTGAAAATTTCTCGGACATTCAGGCCGGTAAATGTCATTAATACTGTTTATTATAAACGGAGCATTTACTTCAATATTTGTCTCTATAAAAAGAACGTATAAATATAAAAAAAATATCTTAAAATAATTGTCGGACTTTGTCCATTTCATAATATATATATATATATATATATATATATATTAGGAGGTCAGCCGATTTCGCTACCTTGGTTTCAACCTTTCGGTATCTTCAGGCGATTCTGGTCAATTGATTTGCGAACGCTTTATTTTTTTCAAGAGATGGTACAATCACAAGTCATCATTCAAGCTAGAAAGTGTTAAGAATTCTACGAAACTAGCCAACCATGGGTGGAAATTTAAATGATGTTCGTCATGAAATTCTGTACGAAGGAAAAGTTGTGTCATTATATTCGGCAGACAGTTTGTACTCATTAAAAATTATTTATGGTTGCCAAATTGTGGTTGTGAGTAATATTAGTCGAAGGGTAATGCGTTTTTTGTAGCAGCGGCTATGATGTGTGTGATAAGCCTTATTCCAGGTGGTCCTGTATTGTTGCTGAAAACATGGTCTATACGATATTACTATACTGATCATCTGTCTGTTGTAGTTTACGGGGAAATAAATAGGAGTCATTACTTTGATGTGTTTACAGAAGCACAAACTCACAGATACATATACAATACTGTGCAAAAGTAAATGAACCTCTAAACTAATATTTAAAAAAATTGTCACATTTTTCAAAAATCTTAATGAAACTATATATTCGTTACGAAAAAAAACTTTTTAAATAAATTACAGCCACTTTCAAAGATTTTTATCCAGCTGGAATAAAAATATTAATTAAAAATTAAGACTTGCAAAAGTAAGTGAAAGCTTATATTTAAACCCTGTATTTTTGTTTTATATGGTTGCCAGTGAAAATAATTTTTTGTGCATGATACATTTTCATGTTTTTGGTAAGCTGTATACACTGCAGTCAAACAATATATATATATATATATATATATATATATATTCGGTTTATTTGTGCATGTATTGTTAAAAGTAATGCAGATAGTTTTTCTAAAATGTGCAAAAATCGTTTCACAAATGTGGTTCTACATTCGAATTGAGTTTTCAAAAAATAACGACACTCTTAAAAATAATGATCAAGAAACACCTCTTAAAACACAAATAATTTTCTTTTCACACTGCCATCGCTGACAATGACTCATGTAAATCGAAAGCTCGTTCACCGCAACATGACATTTGACCAATTATTCCACTCACATTATTTGTGAAAGGATATTCGCATATTAAAATATAATAGACATGTCTGTTGTTTTTACGTGCTTACGTACACACGCGCACACAATCACACACACAAACACGCACGCGCGCGCGCACACACACACACACATTCACACACGCCGGGTGGAACTGCAAAATTGTATAAATAGTGTAACAGCATGGAAAAATTGTCTATCGAACAACATGTTTAATATCTAAAAAAACACTAAACTAATTGAGTTTATTTTTTATAGGTTTGCATATAAGACATTTAGCCATTTTGACACCATTTGTCCTAAAAATTACCGAAAAACCCTTTGAGTCATTTAGCTGAGAAGAGAACAGGTTAAAATCATTTTGTGTCAGCCCCACTATGTCTTCTCAACTGAGCAATGGTGAGAGGGAAAAGATCATTAAGACCTTCAGTAATGGTAGCAACTGGCTTCCGTTTTCAAGGTCCGTTCAAAAACTATCAAGAGAACGGTGAATAAGTTTAAAAAGAGGGAACAGTTGAAAGGAAAACTGGATCAGGAGGTCAAAACAGCAAGAGGCATCATCATTTCAACTTAAAGCTAAATACATTCTTATTGTTCAAAGCAGAATCTTATAGTTTTATAAAAGCCTCGGAAAATTCCAATAAGATATCTTTAATCATTTCTAAGATATGTCAGTTCAAAGATTAATCAATTAGACAATTTTGCTATTACACGATTTGGACAATTTTACTGTTATACCCGATATCTCTCTCTCTCTCTCTCTCTCTCTCTATATATATATATATATATATATATATATATATATATATATATTCATACACGTTTCATTAAATAATATAGACAAGTGCTGTCTATTTGTTAAATGTAACGTCTGATAAGTTTAATATCATTATCATTGAACGAAGAAAAATTCACAATATTGATCCATATTTTTTAATACAATCTAAGCTTTCAGCTTACATAAGCCATTATCAAAGATGTCATTTACAACATATTAAGCAATATATGGACAAGACAGTGATGACAGTCTGTGATTGTTTACATAGATGATTCCTAAGCAACGATAAACACGTGCAAAGCGAAAATCGCACCGCATCTCATGACGTCACACATGACCACGCAAGAGTGAATTGTAGAAATATGGAAAGCCGTTGGTATAAACCAAGAGCTTTTGTTACCAATTATAGACATTTAAGGATATTTGTAGAGATTCCATAATTGATTTTGTTTAGGTTGGGTTTCAACTGTTTAATGTATAATGCTTTAAGGATTTTTAGTTTTTGTCTATTGTTTTCATGTCGAAGTATAATTGTGTTTTCGACAAGTATTTTACAGAATTGTGTGCGGGCAGGCATGTTGTTATATATATATATATATATATATAGAGAGAGAGAGAGAGAAAGAGAGAGAGATGAGATAGTGAGTAGTATAATTAGGCAGGTTGCAAATAGGATTTACTATGGATTTAATGCATATATGAGGACCTTGAATAAGTTCTCGCTGATTTTTCATGAGACAAATAAGTAAGAAATATGTCACTGAAAGTATTGTCCGTCGCTAGACACTACTTTTTCTTATCGTTCTGGCAGCATTTGAATTCCACGGCGGATAAACTACACGTCTTTTGAGGCTAACCACGAGTCGACTCATTTTTTGGCATCTTCATAATGAAAGTACTACTCAGCCAGGCCATGTGCCATCAATTGGAACAAATGATAAT